TTGCATTGAGTTCAGGGCTAGAGTTAAATGTCTCATTTAATTCTACTTGGACTCCTATCCTTTGCAGGCAATGCACATGACATATCCTCCCCCTCACCTGACTTTAAAGTATCTCACACTCTTTAAGTCTGCATTTAATATTCCTAATCAAATTTGGAATTTGCAAGGGGAATGCATATGGATGTTGTCTTTCAATGTTCACCACCCCTTTTTACACATGGATAAATGTGAAACTTCCCAGATCCATTACACTTGGGTTTTTTTCTCCTCCTTTGATTTTTCACCATGCCTTCCACTTCAGCTGCCTTAATACTCCCTATAATACCACCCCACCATCATTTCCCCCTACGATCTTTCAGCTACGTTATCTTCACATTTGCATAGACAGTTTATTTTTTTTAAAAAAAACTGAACAAAAGTGATCAGAATCCTATTGTTGATTTATACTTGACATAAGGGAAATCATGTAAAACCCTGTGGTAAATTACCACTCAATAATGAGATGCTAGCTGTACTCTTGGGGGCCAACCCATCAGTGTAACTGGGAACATTCCTAGAAACACAATCAGAACCTTAATGAGCAATAGACCTCTGGCCAGAACTGCATTTATTCCCTGCCCAAAACTGGTTGTGGAGTGAAAATCTGGCATAATTATGGCATGCTTTCCTCTACCTAATAATACTAACTACATGCAAAAAAGTCAATTCTTATGGTGGCCATTTGCATAGTGTTTTAGGTACAGAGTACTCAGAAATGAGTAACTATTCATTTCTGAGCGAAAGCTTTGGGACCATGCAGCTTGTTCAATACTATACGGTCTGGCTTCCCCTGCCCGGGGTAAATTGGGGAGTTGTACTCCTGCCCTCATGCAGCTGCAGCCTTGTGGCACAGTGGTTAAACTGCAATACTGCAGTGAAGACTCTGCTGACAACCTGAATTCAATCGTGGGCTCAGGTAGCCAGCTCAAGGTTTATTTAGCCTTCTGTCCTTCCGAGGTCGGTAAATTTAGTACCCAGTTCACTGGGGGGTGGGGACAATGTGTAGCCTGCATAATTAAATTGTAAACCACCCAGGGAGTTCTTTAAGCGCTATAGGGTGATACATAAGTAGCACAATTTGCTTTATTTTGATCTATCTAGGCTATTTAATGCAAATTGGTTTTTGTACATAAGGATGCAGTGGAAATCTGGATTAAAGGAAAGGAAAACCTGGGATAGCTGGTCATGTGTATAACTGAGGTTTTTAATGCATCTTGAATGAGGCAAAGTGTAGGTCCAGGCTTCAGATACTTTCTAATCCCATGGGAATTCCAATATATTGAAGATTAGCACAGATTTATATGTTCAGTATTTCTCACATCTCCTGTCAGTATGGAGCCAAGCAGTTAACAGCTGGAACACATCACTGCCACTTCCCACTGACAGAAAAAATAGATTTGTTAGGACAATTTTTGTTCCAGATGCTTTTTGTTGGGTGAGGGGGAGGCGAATGAACACAGCAGGTAACTGAAACTCTGCAACACTGTTTCATTCTGTGTGAATATTGCAATAAAATATGACTCAGTCTATTGTAGAGTAGGGGTCCCCAACCCCCGTTCTGTGGCCCTGTGCCAGTCTGTGGCCTTGGATGGACCAGGCTGCGGAGACAGATCTCCCACACACACCCGCACGCACTCCCCCTTGGACACCCACCCACTAGCACCTTCACACATGCGTGTGAGCATGCTGTGCAAGTGCCCCCGCCCCTTCCAGCAAGCGCCAACACTTCATGCATACACACCCCTGTGTGCATGGACCCCATCACCCCAAACCGGTCCGTGGTTCAAAACAGTTGGGGACCACTGCTCTAGAGGATTAAAATTTTTGTCCAGGTGGATAGGGATGCGCATCCATTTGAGTACATGTAGGATACGAGTATTTCTTGTTTCAGAAATAAGTTTTATACATGTGCAAATTTAAATAATTAATAACAGTTATTCCGTTGAAATATTTTTAATCTTTTCCCCCCCTCAAACAGGTTGTCATGCAGTCTGTTTCAATATGTGTAACAAAAACAAAATAAAACAAAAACGAAAGCATTGTTGTCCCTTTAAGATTGACACATTTATTTCAGAGTTGGCTTTTGTGGATTAATGAGGTTACAGTCCTAACAATTACTCAGCAGTAAGTTGCAAATCAGTGAATCAATGGAATTTGCACAGAAGTTGACTCGCCAAATCCCCACTGATTCAATGAGTCCATTCTAGTTGCAACTTACTCCTGGATTTTAGTCAATAAAACACTTCAATGTATCTAACTATTCAGAATATTCATTTGATTTTTAGCTTTACATATACTTGATACTACCTTGACTGAACTACTCAACTCTCGGGACCAGTACCAACAGCAATTCTCACTCATTTCACTGTGAAACTCGCATGACTAACTAGACTTATTCACACTAACTGAATCACTTAAGGTGATTAAGGTATGAATTAGGAAAGTAATTTAAGAATTAATGCTGTGCCCAGTTTCCAGTTCCAGTCCCAAAGCGGACCCATACAAATAAAAATTTTATACAGATTATATTTGAACATGTTTTATTGGTTCTGCAACAACTAATTCATCAAGATGACTTCTGCTCCTACATATCACATCAAAAAGGGGTTATTTAGATTTTCCCTGGACTCCTTCCCTGAGTTCCTTTAAAATATATTGAACCAGTTAACATTTATTATATTGTGGGTTTAGATCAGCCTTGTCCAACATGGTGCTCTCCAGAGGTCTCTGACTACAACTCCCAGAATCCCTCAACCATACACAGATGGGCAGATTTTAGGAACTATAACATAACTTTTCTGGAGGGCATAAGATTGGGGTAGGTTGACTTAGTCCCAAGGTGGATAAAATGTGGCCTTCCAGATGCTGTTGGACTGTAATTCCCAGCATTCTTTACCACAAGCTACTCTGGCTGTATACATTGAGGTCCAAGAACATCTGGAAGTTGGTGCCTTGCCCACTCTGTATCTAAAGGGTATTCCTTTCTGCCTTCTGTTTTTCATTCCACCTTTTAGCATTCTAAAATATGCTTTTTGTTCCTAGAAAACCAGAAGGCAGTAGAGAGAGAGAAAGAATGGTGATGATACTCGTAAAGACAGGCCTTGATTCAGAGAAACTATTTCAGTGTGCCAAAGACTGTATCTAGCTAAGATTCTCTAAACTTTTACAGTTGCAGTTTCATCACACAAAAAGGTGAGCTATTTTTTCTTTCCTTAAATGCCCAAGATTTTGATTCACAAATTATTCTCACAGTTTTAAGATTCAACAAATATACATTAAAATCACTTACTTTTAGGGTCACATGGAATCATGCCCTTTCCCTGCTTTTTTTAATTGGCATTTGCCAGACTATGCTCTTATTCTTGTCTGTCTGTCTGTCCCTCCTTCCCTCCCTCTCCCACATTGCTAATCAATCTGGAGTCCACAAAACTTGCTAGACTAATAAATCCATGCAGTTAAGATTCAGTGAGTAAGGCTATCAAGCAATAAAACAGCATTTATCACCAGAAAGCATCAAACATTTGCTGAAAAATTCCAGTAAATGCAAAGTATCAAGTCTCTTACCAACACATTGTAAACAGAGAGAGCATGGCAAGTTTCCTGCCAATTAAACAATGAATAACTAAGGTGTATGCAATCCTCAACAAACTGCAGGATAAAAATGCATGACTATAATACCGAACTCATTTTGCAAGGCTATACTAACTTCTCTAGGAATAAATCCACTGAGTTTAATTAGAACTTTTATCTGAGCAGACACATACATGATTGTATTGTTAGACTCTCAGAACAGCACATACACTACAGTAACCTTATAATCCCATCTTCTACATGGCTACTCAGAACTAGGCCCCTACAAAGTGTATGATTTATAGCTGGGAAGGAGTAAAAACCAATGTAACACAAATGTATCCAAATGTAAGTACCCCTGACTTCCAAAGGCCATGCTCCTAAGGTTCAGTCATATATAAATTCACATTAACAACAGAACCTACTGAAAAGCAAATAAACTTTGACAGATAAGCTTTGCATCTTGCGCAATTAAAATTAAAACTCTCCCCAGCTGCCTAAAGCTCTTGCAATAAAAGATGAGAAGGAAAAGAAAATCTTTGGAAAACAGTCTCTAAATGCAGAATTGAAACTCAAGCCATCATAAACCAAGTACGTACAAGGGTGAGAGCAAAAACAATCCTTGCAATCCAGGTTGCACTGCTGGGCAAATCTAATACGTATTCATTGGGCTTGCCCTGGAAAAAAAGGGGGACGTGCTTCTTCCTCCTTTCTCCCCAGGAACAAACCAGAGAGTGAACTGGTCCTGCAGCCTGCCTCAAGCAGGTTTCCTCCATATGTTACAATGGCTACAATGACCATCATCACCAGCCACGTCGACACCTATCTTGACTGGGGCCAATGGACAATGCAGCACAAGACACAAGGGTGATGCGTGATTGGGAGCGGCTGCAACAAGGACAGAGGAAAGGCGGTCTTAGCACAGAAGCAGTAAATCATAATATTTTCCTCCTGAGTATCCTGGATACAAATCCCGTGAATCCACTCGTTCACAGGACTGTTCTGAACCTAATGTTTTTATTTCGTTATATTTACTTATACAGTATAGTATTGCACTTTTCCTCTCAGACGCTGAAGCCAGTACTTCTCGTCCAGCCCCTCCCACTTTATTCTCACAAAGCAAGCGCTGGAGGGTGTGACAAGATGACACGATCAGTTTCATAGAGGCATGGAGGGTGGGGGGTTGAATCCAGATCCTCCGCCTAACACAGTAGCCACTACACCCCCCACGGTCGGTCTCTTGGCTAAGCGGACCAGAACACTTTATTTTGCCCCCTCGGAGGACTGGCGGGATACGACTGGATGAAGTTTCGGTTGGGAGGGGGATGCAGAGAGAAGCGGGAAACTCTCTCCCTCCCCCAAACCTGCCACACAACCCGAAGCGTCGTTACCTGTCTAGCAGAGGCCCCTGCAGGCACTTGACGGCCACGGGGACGCGCCAGTCCGCGTGCCGCGCGGAGGAGACGGTGCCATAGGCTCCCCGGCTAATGAAGCGCAGGTCCGGAAGCTTGTTGGAGGAGATGGTGGGGAGCGTGTAGCTGATGTTGCTGGGGCTGGAGCGGCCGCCGGTGCCCCTCATGCCGGGGTCAGCAGCCATCAAGCCGGGGCGCTTCTCCAGCCTAGGGTTAGTCGAGTGTCCTCGGTCGCCACGGGAGACGTCCAGGAGGCCCTCCCTCCGCGTCACCCAAGGGGTGCACACTTTAAGACGCCACCTCAGCCTCCACCCCTAGTGTTTTGGAGCAGACAGGCGGAGGCCTCCCCAGCCGGCCCCCACCAGTTTTCCTCAGCCGCGGTCCCGCTTCTCCCTCTGCATCACCTCCTGCCCTCCAAGCGGCCTTTGCCTCGCCCAGTTTCTGCCTCCCCTAACTTTACAGCTCGCGCCCCTCTCGCTTGGCCTTCTCCTACCGGGCCCGACTCCGCTGGCCGACACCCAGAGCTTTCATCTCTCTCAGGCCACCCCGCGACCCTCTCCGCGCCCACCCGCGCTTCACAGAAGCCTCCGGCCGGAGTCTCTCCGGCTAGCCTTCTTCACCCTCGGCGCGCCGAAAATTCAGAGGACGGCCGGTGACAGAGGCCAAACTTTCCGCGGTTCCGAGGCAAGTTTCGTCTGGCGGGGAGCGCGTCTTCCTTCCAGGCCTCCGCCCGGGCGGCCCCGAGAACTATCCATCGGAACCAAGCCGCCTTCGAAGGGGAAAAAAGAGTGGCCGTTTCCCAGTTTGCAACCCAGGCGATCCGTTGTAGGGCAGAGAAATACCAGGAGTATTATTATTTTGCATCAAACCACACACGCAGGCAGAAAACCAGAAGCCAAGCGACGGGCGATCCGCGCGCCAATGGCGACTGAGGCGGCGAGGGAAGGAAGAAGAGCCTTCGACGGCTGCCCCGCCTTGCGGTGGGGGAACAACCACCACCTCTCCACCCTCTCCCCTTCCAGCCGGCACCCAGAGGAGAGGAGGAGGGGGAGGTGGCGATGGTGGCTCAGCTCCAGAGGAGACACCGCCTCCTCCTGCTTTCGGGAAAGCAGCCGCTGCGCCGTCCGGAAAGTCTGGCTCGTCCTGTGAGGAAGCAAAAACTCCCGGGCTCTGTGGGAATAGGTGAACATCTCTCTCTCCAGCAGTTCGTGGCTCTTCGGCAGGGCGAGCTCGGCGCTTCCTTTGGTCATTTTGCGCTCCGTTTTGGAGAGGGTGGCTTTCTACTCCGCTTTACTTGGCAGTGAAAGATACATTTCTTCTCCGAGTTACTTAATTCGGAGTCACTATTTCCAGGAAGGTTCTTTTCTTTTTTCTTTTGGTAACCAGAAGCGAAACAGAAGTGAGGCTGTACGTGACTCTTCATTGTTTGAATTCGGAGTAACTCACAAACAACCATTTGCTCCCTGTGGATAGTCACCGATGAGTCACCTTGGAAGTCACAGGCGTTGTTAGAAAGGAGCCGTTCGTCAACCTCGATGCTTTTTCGAGACAGCTGTCACGCGCGGAGGAGTGAAGTCAGGAAATCTTATTCCCAGTTGTTAAAGTCGGGCTGGTAGATAAAGAGTTTAAGGGTGAGAGTCCCACTGAATGCAAAAGGACATATTCCCGGCCTGTTAAAGACTGGCTTTTTAAAATTTATTATTATTTTTAAGGCTGTTGCCTTCTATGTACCTTTGCTTTTGGTGCACAGGGGAATCTCGCCACTGAATTCAGTGGGATTTGCTTCAAAGCAGAGCCCTGCCTGGCAATGTTGGGTGCCTGAAAGAAGCATCAAATGTGTCCAGCCTACAAACTCAGTCTCCAGCCCCTTGCAAGGTCCATTCACTTTCATCAAGTGCCTTCTCTGCCCAGCATAGAGCCTATCTGAGAAACAGGCAAAGTGTGCAAGCAAGCAAGTATTGTATCCTCATCTTCCTGGCTCAGCACTGCCTCTCTGTTAACCTTCCCAGGGGTAGCCCTGCACTTCCCATGGCCCCGTGTCACAGGATTGTCCTAAGGAGTTGATATGGAGGCAGAGGGATTGGAGGCAAAGAAGGAAAGAAGAGGGGATATGCAACCTTGGGGCTGAGATGTAGGGTGCAAGTGTGTGTGTGTGTGTATGTGATGTGCTGATTCTGACTTACATTGATCTAGACAGGTCCCAAACTTTATGAAACATTGAAGGAGCACTTTTACTATTTCCCCCAGTGAGTTTCAAAAATATGGAACTGCATGATTCCCTGAAAAATATCAGAAGTACAGGGCTTGTAAAAGCCAAAAATTAAATAAACAGCAGCAGCAGCAGCAACAACAACAACAACAATAATAATAATAATAATAATAATAATAATAATAATAATAATAATAATAATAATAATAATAATAATAATAATAATAATAATAATAATAATAATAATAATAATAACAACAACAACAACCTTAGAACAGCAGAGCTGGAAGGGATCCTATCTAGTCCAGCCCCTGTCAAGTAGGTGCAGTGGGGAATCTAACTCCTAATCTCTGGCTCCTTAGCCAGATGTCTAATCCATTGAGCTACCCAGCAGAATATTTGTGTCCTCTATATTTCAGTGATCTGGAAAAAGCTACCTTGATCTGTCCTAGTTACAGTTCTCCTTCTAAACAAGAAGCCTAAGACTGAACTACATGATTATACTCAGAAATAAATACACAATGCAACTTACTCCCCCCAAAATTAAGCAAATCTTTGATCGAACAGTGCTTTTATTAGGACAATTTTTAAAAAATGTACAGAATTGTGGGGATATACTGACTTCTTGCCCTGGAGCTCTTCATTGGGCAAGATGTTACCAAAAAGCAGATGTGGAAGTGAAGGAGGAAAAAAATGTTATTTTGATACTGAAGTCATGACATCAGCATGTTCAGAGTGCATGGACTAAATCTGTGTACACGTGGGCTTGCATAAGTGGCAGCTAATAGTTCAGTGTTGTGCATATCAACTTAAAAATGCATGTGTAGGATTGTAGCCTAATGTTAAGTCAGTGTGACATTTTTCATCATTTTAAATTTATATTTCATATACAAAATTTAACCCAAATTCCAACTGTTGCTAAAATAGTGCTCTGGAAAATTGATCTCAGTAGTAGGTATGAGCAAGTGTTTTTTTTTTTTTCCAGTTAAAGCGGCTATACCTACTGAGATCAATTTTCCAGGACTATTTTAGCAACAACTGGAATTTGGGTTCCCTTGTTGGGACTGGTTTGAATCACATGTGCATACCAGGTTAGGGAGGAAGGCAGGGCTGCTTTATGGAAAACACACCCAAGTCAAAGTCAGCTTTCTGGAGGAGGTAGTGATGCAATCTGTCTCTCGTGCAGACAGGGGAAAATAGGTTTTAGATGCGACCATGATTTCCATTCTGTTTAGTTGAAGAAAGGGTAGAAAGTACTGCTTTATAGCTCAGTCATTAAGGTATCTGTTTCTGAATCCAGACCTTAGTTGAAGAAAGGGTAGAAAGTACTGCTCTATAGCTTAGTCTTTAAGGATCTGTTTCTGAATCCAGAGTTTGGGGGTTCAGTTCCCTCCTGTGCCTCCTTGAGAGCTGATGACCCTTTCCAGTGTTGCAGTTCTAAGATTAAGATGATCTCCTCCCTCTATGGAATATAATAACATTTAATAAAAAGTGTTCCTGTCAGCAAACAAACAATCTGAAATCAATGTTCAGATTGGTCTCTTAAGTTTTTCATTTACAGTCTAGAATGTGTGGGCAAACAGTGACATTTTAATTTGGCAATAATAAGAATAAGAATGATAATAAAGAGATAGCAGCTGAAATTATATCTCCTATGAGAGGGGTAAACAATTTTGGGTGTCACCATAGAAAAGTCCCCATTTTTTGTAAATGTATCATGTATTCCTCCAGCATGCAAAGAAATTTCACAAACTACTTCATATCTTGTCTTAATCTGAGGTCAGTTTTGAAACTGTAATGTAAAAATTTACAGCTCATGAAATAAACAGTGGCTGGAATGTACTCTGATTTGTCTTTGTATTGGCAATGATTATCAGGACAAATGATTCAGCTTCCATTTTCAAGTTATCTTGTTACTTGTCAGTACTCACAGTATGATGTATTTAAAGCTTTTAATATGTATATGTTCAAGTTTATGTTTTCATCAGTCATAAAAAACAAGGCAACTTTTAACTTAATCTTTATTAAGTCACTAGGGAGTAAATTCCATTGAAAACAGTGTAAGTGACCTTTGGGTAAACATGCTGTATCTATTATTTTTTAAACCCTGCATGCAGGCCTCTTTTGCAATCCCTTTATGACTGTCTTTTCAGTTTCCTGCTCTTCAGATGCCCCCCCCCCGCATCAGGTTTTCAGTGCACTTATATTTTGAGGTGAGTACATTTGTTTAGCTGGCTGGATAACTCAGTGAATTGGGAACCTGCCTGTAGACTCAGAAACTGGCAGTCTGGTCTGATTTTCCACTGTGCTTCATGGAAGCAGAGCAAGCTTATGAACCTTTGGGCAAGTTGCACTATCCAGGAGTACCCCAGAAGAAGGAAATAGTAAACCGCTTCTGAATACTCTCTACTTTGGAAACCCTGGAAAGTATCACCATAAATCAGAATTGACTGGACTGCAAGGAGTTATTATTTATTGTTACATTTGATTATGCACATATTTAGTAGTTCAGTTCAGAGCCCTGCCCAGAAGCAAGTGCTTTTTGCAAAAAGTGTGCAGCATTCCAGGTTTGTGCTATAATGAGGACAAAATGGAATAATCTGTGAGGAACCAAAAGTAAAGTGTCAGAACCACTTCTCCCTAAAGAGATAGTGTCTTGGGCGAGGAGTCTGTAGGCGCAAGAGACCATCACTTTCTTACCTGAGACAGGTCCTTTGAAGCACATAGTCCTTGCTCTATGGACTAGCTCAACCTAAAATAGACCTCTTGCCTACTTACAAGGCAGTAAACCATTGACTGTGTGCTTCCGTAGACAACACTATACAGTAGATGGACTAGGTAGGACCTCTCTGTTATTGTAGCAACAAGTGACCTTTCCGATCCACACTGGATTTAGGTGCAGTCCTGCCGTTCAAGAGATAAGTGCTGTATTAGAATTATAATTGTTTTATTAAGAAAATAAGATAGTTCCTTTAGAATACAGTTGTAACTTTACAAGCAGAAAGCATAAACATATCCAGACAGTTACTACAATTCAAATAATCTTACTATTCTTGGGTTAAAATAACAACAGCTGAAACTATGCCAAGTAATCATCATCAGGCAAAACAGCTCGCTAGGGAAACTGAGCAAATCTTCCTCCCCCCTTCTCTCTCAAAAGACAAACCTCTCTCTCTCTCTCAATTTTTCTACTCGTCTCCGGACCTCTTTCTTACACTTCTAAGGTGTTAACCAATTAGGATTGTGAGGGCATAACAAAGTTCACCGCCACTGTCTCACATGAGATCTGCAGGTGTTTATCTCGTTCCCAATTAGGAGGAATGTGGTGTTTGGTCTTCCTCTGTTCTTCTCAAACTTTGTTCCCTATCTTGGCGCAAGTCCAGAATAGACTTGGAACAGCAATCCCATGAGAACATTCAAACTATACAGAAAACTTAACAGACTCCATCTTTATGGAGGTCTCATATGCTTTCTAATTCTTCACATTAAGTACTGTAACTGATATACATTAGGGAAGAAATACAACCTTAAACCTTTCAGATACGATAGCAAAATATAAAATCTCTTCTTCAATATAAGAAATTTAAATTCCCTTCTGCTTGTAGCCCTCCTACGTGCTGAAAACATGTTCTAGGTCAGGGGTCTCCAAACTTTTTACAGTGAGAGTCACACTGGATATTTTCAAAGTTTTTGAGGGCCAAAGGAACAGGAATGTGTGTGTGTGCGCACATGTGTACGCATGGCCGCAGGCATGCACACGCATGTATACAGCCCCTGCTCTCCCCAGAGATACATGCATGCGCATGCACACACATGTACACGCCCGCCCACTGCATGCGCACACACATGCCCCCTGCCCGCCTGTCCCCATGCCTGCACACGGGTGAAGGGAATGGCCCGGACAAAATGGCAATGTGTGCTGGATGTAGCCTGCGGGCTGTAGTTTGGAGACCCCTGCTCTAGGTTCTTTGTGATAGTTCCAGAGTAGGGTTTTTAATGGGTGATGGACGAAATGCCTATACATTGACAGCAGGTCTTGGTGAAAACATTTTTAAAAATCTCTTAAATCTTTGTAACCTGCTGCAGATTTTTCCAGCTGGATCTCAAAGATGAGAAGTATTATTTGAAGCATATGGTTGCTGGTTAGAATAGGATGCTAAATCTTACCATCAGGCAGTTCTGAAAGTTGTATCATCATCATCATCATCATCATCAAACTGCAGAGCTGGAACATACCCTATGGATCATTGAGTCCAGTCCCTGTCAAGGAGGCACAGTGGGGAACTGAATTTCCAACCTCTGACTATGCAGACAGATACCTAAACCACTAAGCTGTGCAATAGCTCATATGTTAGCTTATTTCAGCATATATAACAAAGACAAAAGAAAACAAAAAGTACTGTAGACTTTAAAGACGAATGGACTTCTTGGCTTTTCATGGATGACAGCCCTGCTTCCTGAGACACACTGAGTACAATATTCTTCACGTATGTTTATGCTTACATTTACATGAAAATGGAATACAGAGATCATGTTAAGAGTCACAATAACATTATTTATGGAAGAGTGCATTACAAGGTGTTGATTATGTAAGCACCCTGGCAGTAAGTAATTAGCTAATATAAATTGTTTGTTGCTACAAGGCAGCTGGCCTATTATCTTTGAAGCATTGAAGAACTGGTTGGGCTCACTCCAGAGAGCATCAGGGAGAATCCTAAACCTTTAGAGTTGAAAAGAAACTTGGATGTCATGTAACTGAAGCCTATGAATGATGGGCATCCACCTTCTGTTTCAATAAATTCTGTAAAGGAAAACCTGCCACTTCTCAAGCAGTTTGTTCTGCTGCACAACAGGTCTTGCTGTTCAAAACATCTCCCAATGTTTAAGGTAGCAATTGTTCATTCCCTTAAACTCTTCTTTACAGGAGCTAAAAGTTATTTAAGTCTTCCATCCATTTCACATTAGTTTTAGTTTCCAGACCTAATAGCCAGAAGGATCATACAGATGTTCTATTCTTATGTAAAGGGCATAAGAGCAAATTGCTAATCATTAATGAGGAGCTAATTGGGTTCCTGTGCCCGTGCCCAGGAAAGCA